AAATGAACGGTGTTTGTGATATGTGTAGAAATGTTCAGAAACCACAGGTCATGTTGAGGAGTCAGAGTTAAAAAGGGCCTTAAATACATTTCTGGATCGTATTCTGAATCTGAAAACTAAAACGCTCGGCTCATTCAGACTGAGTGTCCATCCTTGATTTAAAACCTTAACGGGCTGCTGCTCTCCCAATTGTTGATTATTTCACTTTTCTCTGATTGTGTTGACTTGAAGATGATTTCTTTGCACACATAATAAAAAGAAAGAGACGAGGAAGAAAAACCAAAAATAAAAGTTCCCCGATCTTTAACTTTTACAGAGTAAATGTTTAACATCCTGCTGAAGAAATCTTTAACTTTTCTCCTCACTTTAATCATTTTTGAGCGTAGCTCTGAGCCTCGATGTCTCCAGGGAAATTTATCTCAGGTTTCCTAAAAGTGTGAAAGGAATTTCACCAACTCTTAAAAGATTATGTGCAAAGTTACATGACTTGTGATCCGTGTTCTGGGTGGCTCTTTGATACAAAGACACTACAGCTGCCCGGGGCTCACTGACAGAGGGCAGGCTGCCCTGCACAGGCGCCATCAGTCCCTCCGACCACCATGAGGTGTCTTGTTGCTTGCTCTCAGTCAAACATTTCCCAAAATACGACGCCGTATTTTCAAAAGGATGGAGGATCAGGAGCCAGCAGCAGCTTCGGGGACAAATGTGCACTACGATGCTTTTTAGCTCCAAAACAGTTATCTATGATTGGTTAGTTGCTTAGTAGTTACAGCTTTGGTGGCTAGCGGGTACTAACTCGCTTACACATTTAATCAAAGCAATACATACACAATTAATGAAGTAAAAGGCTTATTATACATCTATACTGAAACGTATACGTATAAAATATAACTTTACCTCATGTGATGGTCACGTCATGAGGTAAATCTGTTACCTTTAACCGTTTTCCTTGACCAAGGAAGGACGGTGTTCTCGAAAGCAAGGCGCCTGGCCTAGCGAGGCAGTGCCTTAACACTGAGAAACACCTCATCTATGTCTACTAGTTACTGGTAAAGTGCACCGGTATATTTCTCCCCCTCGTGAATGACTTACATGAGAAGTGGTGAACTGTTTTGATTGTGTTTTAGTAACTTATATCAATCAATCAAGTGTATTCCTGTGTGGGACGCGTTCGTCCTTTTTCCTTTTGACTCTTGTTCTGTTTCAACTTTATACACGAGTCATTCACCTTAATTCATTCACTGCCAGCCGTTTCCTGTTCGGTAAAGCCCTTCGCTGCCAGCGTTTCTCACTGTTTTTTTAGAGTCCCAGAACGTGCCTATCTCCAGCGGTCAATGGGCAATCAGGCGGGGTACACCCTGGACAGAGAGCCAGTCCATCGCAGGGCTCTATCTATCTATCTATCTATCTATCTATCTATCTATCTATCTATCTATCTATCTATCTATCTATCTATCTATCTATCTATCTATCTATCTATCTATCTATCTATCTATCTATCTGTCATCTATCTATCTATCTGTCATCTATCTATCTATCTGTCATCTATCTATCTATCTGTCATCTATCTATCTATCTGTCATCTATCTATCTATCTATCTATCTATCATCTATCTATCTATCTATCATCTATCTATCTATCTATCATCTATCTATCTATCTATCATCTATCTATCTATCTATCTATCTATCTATCTATCTATCTATCTATCTGGCATTAATTCCTACTAGAGACAACTGCAAATGTATTGATTAAACAAGAGTTCCACTCCTTTAAGAATAACTTGTTTGAGATAAATTTCAGAATCTCTATCATGTCATCACAAAATATTTCTCTTATAGTTGTATTCTCCAGTGAGGTAGTCACTAACGATGACAGAAAACACCAGAGGCAAACCCGAGAAACTAGATGCTTACAGGGTTGTGCAGAGTTCTGGATGTGTTCCTGTGTGATTTAGAATATATTTGTTGAATTAATCTGCAAAGTTTTATTATGAGACTAATCTAAGGGACTCGAGTTGTTCGTCCTTCTGAGTCCTCAGCCTGTGTTGTGTTTGAAGGGATGAGTTATGCTCTTGTGTAAATTAGGCATAACAATTAGACTTTGCATGTTTTAAATCCTTTGAAATTTAGTATAATAGGACTGATGATTCATAAAATCTCCCACAATTATGAAGAAAATGTCAGGAGTGATGAGCTGGTTGGACTAAGGAAGCCTAAAGGACCTTTTTATTTGTTGATTTATTATATAAGATGTATTGATCAAAGTTTCTCTTCATAATTTAACTGGTGGTGACTTTTAGCAATGTGTGATGACGGAACACTCCTACATGGAGTTACATGACAGCGGTTGATGTGACACAGCATCCCAGCTGCTTTGACAAAGCAGCCAGTTCTCACGCTCAGAGAATGGAAACAAATTGAGCGTTCTAAATCTTGTGTTTCTGATCCATAACTACAAGCTCTGGCTTTGCTGCTTTGCTTCCTGGTGCATTGCCAACATTTGTAGATCAGCGAAACAGCATGAGTCTGTTGGCTCCGGTGAGCACTTGTGCCTTCTCTTGACTGAGAGGATAACCCAGTTAATAATTCAAAAAGTGTAAAAAAAAAATTTTTGTTGCACAAGCAACAGATCTGGTTGACATTCCTGCTGTCAGCATGCCAATTGCACGCCCCCTCAATGCTTGTGGCATATGTGGCATTTTGCTGTGAGACAAAACTGCACATTCCAGGGTGGTCTTTTATTGTGGGCAGTATAAGGTACAGCTGTGCACTACTCATGATGTCGGATCAGCATCCTGATGTGGCGCACCTGTGAGGTGGGATGGATTATCTCTGCAAAGCAGAAGTGCTCACTATCACACATTTAGACTGATTTGTGAACAATGTTTGAGAGAAATGGTAATATTGTGTATCTGGAATGAATTTTAGATCTTTAAGTCCTTCTCATGAAAAATCAGAGCAGAAACAAAGGTGTTGTGTTTATATATTTGTTGAGTGTGTGTGTGTGTGTGTGTGTGTGTATATATACACATCTATCTATTCATATCTACATTTATATATCTATATCTACATCTATATCTATCAATCTATCTATATCTATATGTCTCTATGGCTGTGTCTCAATTCAGGGTCTGCATCCTTCGAAGGACCCAGTCTACTCGGCCGACGGGGGCTGGGTCCTCCGTCGGCCGAGTAGACCGGATGTTAACGGCTGTGAGTTTGTACAGGACTAGCCTTCATGAATTCCCGCCACTCCCTCGGCGAACGTTCCGTCGCCTAGCAATCGTGGAACCGCTGAGCAGAAGGGAGAAGGAACTTTAAACGATGGAGCTCAAAGTTTTATTTAGCTTTTTAATCATTTCCTTGACTGTTGGAGAGCTAATTCGGAGAAAATACTTTCGACAAGCTGAGCCTGAGCAAAGATGTGATAATAGTGTTTAATACTTTCTAAGGGTCTTCATTTGACCAAAACCGATTCATCACCTTTTAAGACTTTTCAAGACCCAGCGGGTACCCTCTAGTAAACAATTCTCATTTGTAAACAAAAATAAAATTCAAGAGTTTAATGCAGAACTGATTTTATTTAGATATTTCTTTTATATGTACATGTTTAATCTTTATGAACCATTTTTTCTAGCAAAGTAAAAAGCCTGTCAAAATTCTCCCTTCTCTCCTGTGCCCTCTGCTGCTCTGCCTCCCTCTGCAGCCTCATGTCCTCCCTGATCAGCTCCAGAAGCTGGTCATCACCTTCCCCTGGATGTCCATTTTCTCCAGAATAGTCTTAACAAACATGTAAGAAAAAAAAAACAGGAAGAGAGAAGAGGACACCGGGTTATTCCTTTCATGTTTTCCCAGAAAAAAACTAAACTCAGAGTTTTTAAAATGAGATGTTTTTGTAGCTCCATGCCACAGCCGCTGGATACTTTGCTCCAGTGATCATGTGGTCCATCTCCGCCCTAAGCTTAATAAATTCCCTGGTTTTCTCTTTTGTCCCTAAAATACAAACTTCTATTAAAATCAGGGGGAAAACGTAGCGGGAGAAGTACGACACCGAGCGGCCGAACACACGAGCCGAGACTGCAATACAAGCACTTTTATTACAGTAACATTTCAAACTAAAATAACGTTCATGTATCACAAAAAGTCCTTAACCTAACAGTTTTCAAGTTTATACTGACATATGCGCAATCCTCTCCAACAGCTCCCGCTTCACTGTCCACCATTGTTTTTAAAAGTTCTGCCGGCCGGCCCGCAAGGCATCTTGGGAAATGTAAACCATTGAAGGATACACCGGACCCATCCTTCATGCAGGCGAAAAGAAGGCCGGCTTCGTCGACCGCATTTGAAGGAGTCTTCGAATTGGGACAGGCCTAGTCGCGGCGCTGTGACGTAACCGGCCGACGAAGGATGCAGACCCTGAATTGAGACACAGCCAATATCTCTATCAATCTATCTATTTATCTATCTATAGATATATATCTATCGACCGATAGATATATATCGATAGATAGATCAATAGATAGATCGATATAAAAAAAGTCTTTCATATGAGCCATATGCAAAATGGTTACAAATCTGACTGTTCTCAGTTTTGTGATATAAATAAGAACTCTTTAGATTATGAATCGTTTTGTTGAAGAAATGTTAACCTGAATCTATTTTTAGTGTCTTTGCAAATTAAAACCACTTTGCACATAAACTTGATCCCATTAGGAAAGATTTCTCCATCGATCTCACTCCTTCCACAAGCTGTCTATGTGCTGTCCTCTGAAAGCTTTTGCTCATTTAAAATCGAAAGACTCGTTCCATGAAGCGTCTCACTTGTGCTTTACAGCTGCATGTATCATCAGTCATGAGTTTACTTAAAAAAATAAATCTACTTTTATGGTTGCTCCAGCAAAAGAATCATATTCTGCTTATTTTAGGTTTGATAAAGGATCATAGGTTGTTAGCGGTGAGTCCTTCATATTGAAGCCTTGTGTCGTGTGCGTCCACAGGGGAAGAGTCATTAATGATCTTTGTGGACAAGCGGAAGTTGAGTCGGACATCTGAAGCGAGCGAGTCCAACGGCACCGCTGTGACACTGGAAGCTCTGCACCAGCTGGCAGCCTCCTACTTCATCGACAGAGAGAGCACCTTACACAAGCTGCATCACATCCAGATCGCTTCGACCGCCATCAAGGTAACTGGCACCGATGCTCCTCAGCAGATTTTTATTTTTTTTTTTTGCACCAACAGATGTACTTATAATTGCAGCCTTTACATAAAGCAGTTTTCCATCTATAACACAAATGGGCGTAAGGGGGTGATTTGTGCTTTTTCCAAGTAGTTAACCACATTCCTATCTGGGAATTTAGTCCTGAAACAGCCTTTTATAAAGAAATGACAACATCATTTTGTTCAGTGATGTTCTGCCGCTCTTCCGTTTTTCTCGTTATCAAAACCAAACTGTCACCGTTACATCCTGGCGTCCCATTAACAGATTTTGCGTCATTGATTCTGACTAACATCTGTTTCTGGAGATGGTTTTTTCAATTGTTCTCCCTCCCGTGGGGAAAGGAATCGGAACAAATTAAGAAAACCACATTCTCCAATGGTTACTACTTGCCAAGTACTTTTCCTTTATTAACAGTTACTGTCGGCAATTTAAAACTCGTAAAAAAGACCTGGATGGGCAACTTTGGCCCATCTTAAATGTTGAATTCCATGATTAAAACATGGTTTGAAGTAGTTGTTGCACAAACACGACTCTTCTAAAAGGCCATAAGTAATGCACGGGCTAATAAACTGAAGCTACTCTCTTACTGTTTTTAATTAATGAACCATTAAAAATGTATGAACTTTAAGACCTCCTCTAATGTTCGAGCTGCAACAACACCTCTAATGATGCCACTACTTTATGACCGAGCAGATTTAGATCACAGAAGAGTCGAAGCACAGCAGCCGTCACAAAGTTTCCTTACATCATCGTTCATGTTGCCAATTTATATTCTGTAAACCAAAAGGAGCTCTGCTCATTCATGTGTCCACAAGTTTCATATTTACAGAATAAAATCTGTTTTAACTACATTTATGAATTTGTTGCAAATATTTGATTCGTTTGAGAGATTTATCAGTTTTAGATGGTTTTTTATGTAGTTTTAACCTTTAAACTCTCGAAATATCCATTAAAATGTTGTTAAAAATGAATAAAATTATGTCCGTTTGAATAATATTGGCGGTCTTATAGCATATAACCATAAAAGTTAGTACACAAGGAACGGTCTGGTGTTTTTGAGGGACGCCATATTAGACGCCATGTTTCCTTCTGGCCGGCTCGGGGTCCTGCACCTGTGGACCCCACTAGATGATTGGCTGGACATATGACTTACAGAAGTTACGTTACCACGCTCAACAACATTTCAATCAATCAATCAATCAATCAATCAATCAATCAATCAAACTTTATTTATATAGCATTTAATCATGCAATGCATGCAACTCCAAGTGCTTAACAAATTAAAATGGCCCCACATACCCACATTCCCTCCCATCCCCAGAATTTTAAAAATGGTCTGAGAATAAAAACCTCTTCACAACACTCATCCTCCGGCACACACACATATACCCCCCCACCCCCCCACCCCCGGAAAAAACACGATGGGCTGAGATCAGATGAGCCAAACCAGCTACGGATAAGGAAACACCATCAGGGGAGCCATCCGCCCCGACAGCAGCACCGAACCACCACCCCCGGGGCAGAGGGCACTCACGGAGGGAACACTGGAAAAAGGTTAAATTAAGGTTAAAATATAAAATCATAAGAGCTAAAATGAGAATTGTGATATAAAAGGTTATATAGATATTAATATCATGTTGATCTTAAATCTATGGTAAAAATAGATAAATAACCTAATTGATTAGATAATTAATTTAAAATGTGATAATAATCAGTTAAATTATTTAAGCACTAAGAAACACAAATTTAATAGCAAAACTGCTGAACTGTTTCCAAAACATATGTGACGGAACAGAATGGGGAAAGAGATGCTATATATTTTGGCTGAGCAGTATTGCCGTAGTATGATGACATCATCAGCAGGCACAGGGGGCCAAGCAGATCCAGAAAATTCAACATCAGAAAACTACAACCATCAAAGTCGGAGGAGTCCCGCTGAGGTTCCGTGCTTTCTGCTCCACGGGTAACAACATTTACCGTAATGTTTTAAAAACTAGCCACAGTCACGGTGATTTGGGTGTAAAACTACCCTGGAACGCATGTATGTACTGCCCCCTAGCACCAGAAAACTATACACTGCTAATGTAATGTAATGTAAATGTAATGTAATGTAAAGTAATTACAGTAAATTGTTAAATATACATAGGAAAATAAACAAGTTTGTGTTATTCATAAGTAAAGGAAAAAGGACAAGGAAACTATAAAAAGCAGGAAAAGATTGAGTGAATAAAAAAATTCTAGAGAAATAATATTAGAAAATATTCATTCATTCATTCATTCATTCATTCATTCATTCATTCATTCATTTATCTTGTTGCTTGATTGTGTCTGGCCAGTTGTCCCTTTACCTATAATCAAAGTGTCTTATAAAGCAGTGATGTGGGACATTAGGGACACTCTGCCACAGGCATTACCGTACTTCCTCCGTTTATTTCATAGTACAGGAAATACGCCGCAGGGGAAAAAAAAAGTTAAAAGTCAGACTTTCTGCTGGAATGACAGTCGAGCTATGTGTGACCCATTTCCAGACAGGTCATTTATTGTCCCTTCTAAAAAAATCCAGACTTTGTAGCAGAGGATTGCACTTGTGTCCTAGCTAACGCTGCATTCTGCCCACTCTACAAAACCATAATGTGACATTTTAGCTAACGTGCACGCTCAATGAGCATGAAACAGTCGGGCCAAAAGAACAAGTGAAGCGGGAAGTATTGTGTATTTCCTTCCCTGCTCATATGAAACAGCATGCTGTGCACATGAAGATATGCTTGTGATGTAAATATCACCCTAACTAATGACTTCTGGGTGAGTTCATCCATCACCGTGTTATCAGGCCAGAGGAACTGAGTAAGCTGGGTTTGTCTTTCACGCTGAAATCTCCAGGTTTTTCCTCACATTGTGTTTACATCTGATTATGGTAACAAATTTACATCATAGGAGGAAGGTAACACCAGAAACGGTCTGAAATGCCAGTATGAGACTCTGCCGGGCTCCTCGGCTGGTTTATTTTGAACCTGCATCTGCCGCTGCTGTGATCGTTTTCAGGTCGGCTGAACAACACAACGATGGCCTGACCCAGCTGACAGGACCACACTTACTGCCTAAAACATTCTGAGGCAATGCGCTGAGTCACCAAGATAAAGTGGTGCTTCATGTTTCAGGACTTTGGTGTCATGCTAAAGCGAGCAAAAAATATCTGACATAATTAAAATGAGATTAAACAAAAACAAAGAGGTGTCCAGCAGTTAGATCTGTAGGAAAACCAGGGAACAAAACAAAGGAAATCTCAGTACGTAATGTAGAAACTTTCAGGCAGCACCTTTCTGAAAACTGGCTTCATAGAATGCAACTGCTCCAGATGTTGTTGCTGTCCTTTTTGATTCTGCAGCTGCCAGACGTGGTCTGAAAGCACACAGTAGGATAGCAACAAGGCGCCTGTGTGTGCAGAGGGGCTATGATCAGCGAAAAGAAGAAGCGAAAGGCCAACGCTTTTTACAGCAAATTTTGGTACAAAAACGTCTGGACAGAACCTTCTCCGAATTGGTGTGAAGCTTAGGTTGCCACGGTGATCTGCTCAGGCTGAAAGAAAGCATCCTCTGTGGCATGGAAGGCTCTGGGTTTTGGCTCAGCATTCGTGTACAAGCACATTTCTCACTCTGTTGTTGGCTCCACAGATCCCAAAAGTAACACAGTGGTAAACGGTCAACTACATTTCACACATTAAAACATATGAAATGCAGTTTTAACAGCTGGAACTCTTAATGGTTTGTTGCTATGGTTTCCTTGCTTCCTTGTAACCAATGGTTAGGTTTCCTTTTTGGTTTACTGCTTTAGAACAAAATGTGATGAAGATATTTACTGTCAACCTACTGATTGATTGCCATAAAAAACATGCATATAGAGACTGAATTTGATCAAAAGGTGCATTTAAATAAACTGTAGGTAGAATATTTTACGTCTGATCAGTTTGTGGTCTAGTCAGGGAAAACATGGAGCTGGACGTGAAAACGTAATTTCGTTAAATATAATTTTAATCAGTCAACATTTTCCATTACCTTATGGGGTTGGATCGCTTGTGTTGTGAGTGGGTTGGAAAGAAGCATTTTGGTTTCTAGGGTCTGTAAGTGTTACTATTCTAAAAGCAGCACAACTCCACGTCCCTCATTGACTACGTTTACAGCCAGTATCCGGGTTATGATCGGGTTAAGGTCGGTATTCGGGTTTCTGAGTTGATCAGAATAACCCGTTTACAAGCATAAATAGAAAGAGTTACCTCTAACTTGCATAACCCGATTTGAATGCGGACGTTGGGGTAGCGTCAGGACGTATGGACTACGTCAAGATGCAATATGCTTGTATATTTCGCTGTCTCTGTACTTTCGGCCATCAACAAAAGACATAATGTTCATACTTTTCACCAGACCGATGAAGACAGAGGTTTCCTCGTCACTCCAAAAGTGTGGTGCTGTGCCGCGACTCGCCATTTTGCTCCCAACTTGTTTACTTCCGGTGTTCTGGCGCATACAAGACGTCTCGCTACTCAAAAGACCAAGATTCCTTGCGAACAGAGCATGCGCAGAACACACGCTTTGATGGGGATATCCCAGTATGCGTTTACATGACCAAACATTTGGGTTAGAAAAGGGTTACCCCAGGTGTAGTAACCGGGTTTTTAAAAACCCGGTTATGAGCATATCCGGGTTTTTGGCGGTGTTTACATGGACCTGCGAAACCGGGTTATTGTGAATATTCGGGTTTTAAAAGGGTTACTGGCTGCATGTAAACGCACTGATTCAGAAACATCAGTACCGTCCTGCTGCTTCTGCGCTGCAGCCCGTTGTTCACGGGCTTCGTGAGTCCCGCCATACAGTCCAGAGATGAAACTCTACTTTCTCTAAAGTGAATTGGCAGAAAGATGGCGAGCTGATTTGGCTGCCATCACAGAACCAGAGAGGTGCTGAAAACCC